TGGATTTTAGATCGATCAAATTTTTTCTTTAGGAAATTTTTGGATCTCAGATCGATCAAATTGTCTCTTTAGGAAATTTTTTGCTATTTTGTTTTTGTTTGTTATTTTTTCACATTTTTCTTACCCACTGTTTGGTGCTTCTGCATGCTTTTATAAAGTAGCTAACTGCAACCATTCTTAAATGTTTATAATGTTTTTTTTTTTCTATCGATACTTTTTTTTTAAATATTCGACAAAAAATTGTGTCACTTATAAACAGTCTACTCGTATTGCGACAATTACGTTTAACCTAAAGTTTTCCAGGCATTCACACACAAAAGCAATCGTATTGTATCTTGTTGTTAATGTTAAGTATGGACACTGTATCTATGATGTGTTGTTAGCTGATGTATGTGTGTATCTATATTATGTGTTCATTTGAATGTTTGAACCACAGTTTGATACATAATTTCAGTATTGTGTGAACAATGATAAATGCAAATTCATTTTTAGTTTTTTTCCTATTCTATTTGCTATTTGCACGACGTTGACTATAAGCATCTTTGTTGTTGTTATTATTGTTGTTGATAACACAAACAATATGTTTGTTGGAAGAAAAAAAAAGAGGAATGCATAAATATTCACATGTTCCTGCTGCCTGTCCGGCCACAGCCTCAAAAACTATTCACACATGTATATTTTTATTTATGCATAGGTAAACCCAGCAAACATTTTATATTTAAGTTGTAGAATTGAAAAAAAAAACAGATAATTTAGATAAATATAATGGTTTACATTATTTGGGAAAGTTTTTTTATTTTAGTGCCAAAAGTTTGCTGGGTTTCATGCATGCTTCCTTGTTTGTGATCCTGTTCTGTATATTTAATAATGTGTGGGCATTGCAGCACGTACAAAAACATTTTGTACGACCAGAAGTTTAATGGTCGTTTAAAAAATTTGTTTCAAATTCCAAAATTTTAATACTCTCAGGTGAATGTTTCATAGCAAATGTACAGCAACACAATATGATTATGCAGTTAAAATTGGAAAATAAAAATGCCATGAAAATTAACAAATATTTTAAAAAAGAAAATGTTAATATTTGCCACAAATAACAATTTTAGTAATTAATATGCAAATACATCTATACATAGAGGAAAATGTTTATTTTATTATGAAAACATTTTTATAGTCACCCTCGCATATGTATAGAACTTTATTAAAGTCAAACTTTTAAAGAAATTAAAAACTTTCATTTAACTCTTTTTGCTCTTTAAAAACTTTAGTGAATATTTGGCATTTCAATATATATTACATTTAGCCATAGCTATTTCACAATATTTGTTTGGCAAAGAAAATTCGTTAAAATATTTAAAAGTTTTTGCATTGTTGTTTTACAATATTCGTACATGAATGAATGAATGACTAAATGAATAAATAAAATTGTTTTGTTTAGGAAAAGCCCTTTGTATTGTGTTTTTAGTTTATGTTAATTTTATTGTGTGTTAAAACTTTTAACACAAATTCAATTTCATACACACACACACATACACTCACAAACAATTCAACAATAACGCCTCAACAAATAAACACGCAAAATAGAAAAACTATTTTTCCGTAATGTTTAACAGTTAACCGGAAACAGTGCGTAGTTTAGTTTTGTAATTTATAAACATTTACTAACATTTAGTTAGTTAGTTAGTTAGTTAGTTAGTTAGTTAGTTAGTTAGTTAGTTAGTTAGTTAGTAGTTAGTTAGTAGTTAGTTAGTTAGTTAGTAGTTAGTTAGTTAGTTAGTTAGTAGTTAGTTAGTTAGTAGTTAGTTAGTTAGTTAGTTAGTTAGTTAGTTAGTTAGTTAGTTAGTTAGTTAGTTAGTTAGTTAGTTAGTTAGTTAGTAGTTAGTTAGTTAGTAGTTAGTTAGTTAGTTAGTTAGTTAGTTAGTAGTTAGTTAGTTAGTTAGTTAGTAGTTAGTTAGTTAGTTAGTTAGTTAGTTAGTTAGTTAGTTAGTTAGTAGTTAGTTAGTTAGTTAGTTAGTTAGTTAGTTAGTTAGTTAGTTAGTTAGTTAGTTAGTTAGTTAGTTAGTTAGTTAGTTAGTTAGTTAGTTAGTTAGTTAGTTAGTTAGTTAGTTAGTTAGTTAGTTAGTTAGTTAGTTAGTTAGTTAGTTAGTTAGTAGTTAGTTAGTTAGTTAGTAGTTAGTTAGTTAGTTAGTTAGTTAGTTAGTTAGTTAGTTAGTTAGTTAGTTAGTTAGTAGTTAGTTAGTTAGTTAGTTAGTTAGTTAGTTAGTTAGTTAGTTAGTTAGTTAGTTAGTTAGTTAGTTAGTTAGTTAGTTAGTTAGTTAGTTAGTTAGTTAGTTAGTAGTTAGTTAGTTAGTTAGTAGTTAGTTAGTTAGTTAGTAGTTAGTTAGTTAGTTAGTTAGTTAGTTAGTTAGTTAGTTAGTTAGTTAGTTAGTTAGTTAGTTAGTTAGTTAGTTAGTTAGTTAGTTAGTTAGTTAGTTAGTAGTTAGTTAGTTAGTTAGTTAGTTAGTTAGTTAGTTAGTTAGTTAGTAGTTAGTTAGTTAGTTAGTTAGTTAGTTAGTTAGTTAGTTAGTTAGTTAGTTAGTTAGTTAGTTAGTTAGTTAGTTAGTTAGTTAGTTAGTTATTAGTTAGTTAGTTAGTTAGTTAGTTAGTGTTAGTTAGTTAGTTAGTTAGTAGTTAGTTAGTAGTTAGTAGTTAGTTAGTTAGTTAGTTAGTTAGTTAGTTAGTTAGTTAGTTAGTTAGTTAGTTAGTTAGTTAGTTAGTTAGTAGTAGTTAGTAGTTGTTAGTTAGTTAGTTAGTTAGTTAGTTAGTTAGTTAGTTAGTTAGTTAGTAGTTAGTTAGTTAGTTAGTTAGTTAGTTAGTTAGTTAGTTAGTAGTTAGTAGTTAGTTAGTTAGTTAGTTAGTTAGTAGTTATTTAGTTAGTAGTTAGTTAGTTAGTTAGTAGTTAGTAGTTAGTTAGTTAGTAGTTAGTTAGTTAGTTAGTTAGTTAGTTAGTAGTTAGTTAGTTAGTTAGTTAGTAGTTAGTTAGTTAGTTAGTTAGTTAGTTAGTTAGTTAGTTAGTTAGTTAGTTAGTTAGTTAGTTAGTTAGTTAGTTAGTTAGTTAGTTAGTTATGTTAGTTAGTTAGTTAGTTAGTTAGTTAGTTAGTCATTTGGAAAAAGATTTTCATAAAATGTCTGATCACATTAATTGCATGTTCTCTTTTGATCAATAATTGCTCAAGTTTTGAAAAATCTGTTGAACCTGAACTCGAGTTGCAACTGTTAGTTCTTTCTCGAACTGCCGGGTGATAATAGTTTTGAGTTTACTCACACATTTACACTCAATTTGCTCATGCATTCACATGTTTATTTAAATTTCCTAAAATACGTTTATTGCATTAACACTTCCGTGTTATTGTTGTTCAATATTGTTGCCGCATGATGCGGTATCATTTCGCTAATATTTTCCAAAATATTTTAGAATTCAAATTTTTAAGAAGTTTTTGTTACTTTCTAATTTACATATTTGGTTCAATTTATTTCATAATTTTTTCTTATTTACTTTCAGGTGAGTTTGCCGAGAGATGTTATTTACTTAATTTGCTGAAATAGTTGTAAGTAATATTCCATAAGTTTTATAGTAACTTTTGTTATGTGCACTGGTTAAGGAGTGCACAACAGGCCCGATAGAAGCCTAGATGTATTTCTTCGGACATCCTCCTTTCAAACTAACTACATAACTAACTAACTTGGACAACTTTGCGAAATTCAGCCTTTATATTTCCATTAATTAATTGTGATCAGTTTTTATCGTTGTCTTTGGTAAAAATTACGATCAATGATTGTACATTTGTTGATCACTTATCGGACCAGTCAACTAAAAATTTCGATTCTCTTTCGGAATAATTTGGTCATTTATTGATCCAGTGTCACATAATTGACCGAATAACTTTATCTTTTGAGAAATTTACGATATGTGATCAACAACATTTTTCTTTAGGAAAATTTTCGATTGCTGATGGGAAATTTTCTCTTTATCAAAGTTTTCCTTAAATTTTCTTAGATTAATTTTTTCAAATCAAAATGGTTTAAAGGATTCATTACGCTTCACATAATTTAAATCACATCCTTTCTCCACGTATGTATGTATATTGCCATAAATTTTTAACTTTTATTCTCTGCTTAAAATTTATGACGAATATTTTAATGACATTTAATTAATAGGTAATAATTTAATTAAAAAACACAAAATAAAAAATGAAAATAAAAACATTTCATACACATATTATGTTGTATTTTGTATTTAAAGTGGATAAAGTTGGAGCAAAAAATTAAATATACATAAAATACAAAACCAATAAATTTTGCATTAAAGTAAAAAGTTTTTTCCTTTCGTTTTTTTTTGTTCGTTTGAATTAAATTGCAAATTAAATGAGTTTAAAATCAACAAAATAAAAATCAGCATGTTAATGCATGTTTCCGAGTGTGGTATGTGCATTAAAGAATCATGAATATGAAAAACTGAATAAATAATAAAATATTAAAAATCAATAATAAAAATGTTTATGACCGTAATTTATTGGTCACAAACACATATACACACATAATGTTGCACAATAACAAATCATTGCAATTAAATTGAAAGCTGTTTAAAAAAAATATATTTTCATAAATAAAATTAAATAAAAAAAAATGAAATTATTAACAAGTTCAACATCTGTTTCTCTTTGAGCTGTAGAAAAGCAAAGTTGGGGAAACCTTGAAAGAGAAACAAATGTTATGGCAAGCTTTGGTTTCTTTCCTTTTCCAATTGACAGGTTCAATAAACCAAAAATAAGTGCAAAGTTGTGTTGGAGTAGTAGATGGTGCAGTTGGTGCAAAAAGTGCAGTAGTGCTTTTTAAATTATTAATTTTTTTTACTTGATTTGTGATAGAAGTTGGCTACTTTGTTTTCTTAAACAACAAAAAAGTATAAATTAAATAAATATTATTTATTTTTCTTAAATTCTCTCTTTCAATTTGGTGCAGGTGCTTTAGTGAATATAAAAAAATTTTACTTTCTTTTAAAGTTTAAAATAAAATTTGAAAATAAATTTTAAAGAAAAAGTAGAAATTTTATTTTATTTTTACGCCTTTTAAAACCGATTACATACCTTGGCTGGTGTTCCAGAATCTCCACTCACCCTATGACCACCCAAATTATTGACCACGCACGTAAATGTGGCATCACGTCCTTGCGCCACCGTAACATTTTCCAATGGTATTACAAAGTCTGGCTCGAATGCACTCACTGATGATGATGATGATGACGACGATGATGATCCCGTGTTTAGAGTTGAATATGATGTGTGAGAGGAAATTTTGTTGGAAATGCAAAAATCTTTGATTTCATACATTTTGATTTTGGTAATTTTTTTTCGTAATGAATATAACAAAAAGTGAACAACAAGAACGAAAGTTTTTAGTTTTATAATTGAAGCAGATTTGTTTTTTTAAAAATTGAAATAATAATTATTTATTTAAAAAGTAGGGAAATGTGAAAAAGGAAAAATTTGACAGATCGACCAAAGTCAACTATCTCTTTAGGAAATTTTTCGATGTCAGATCGATAAATTTTCTCTTTAGGAAATGTTTTGATTTCAGATCGATTAATTTTCCCTTTAGGAATTTTTAAATCTTAGATCGATCAATATCCTGTTCAGGAAATTTTTCGATCTCAGATCGATCAATTTTCTCTTTAGGAAATTTTTCGATCTCAGATCGATCAATTTTCTCTTTAAGAAATTTTTCGATCTCAGATCGATCAATTTTCTCTTTTGGAAATTTTTCGATCTCAGATCGATCAATTTTCTCTTTAAGAAATTTTTCGATCTCAGATCGATCAATTTTCTCTTTAGGAAATTTTTCGATCTCAGATCGATCAATTTTCTCTTTAGGAAATTTTTCAATCTCAGATCGATCAATTTTCTCTTTAGGAAATTTTTCGATCTCAGATCGATCAATGTTCTCTTTAGGAAATTTTTCGATCTCAGATCGATCAATGTTCTCTTTAGGAAATTTTTCGATCTCAGATCGATCAAATTTTTTTTTTAGGAAATTTTTCGATTTCAGATCAATCAATTTTTTCTTTGGGAAATTTTTCGATCTCAGATCAATCAATTTTCTCTTTGGGAAATTTTTCGATCTCAGATCGATCAACTTTCTCTTAAATAAAATTTTCGATCTCAGATCGATCAATTTTCTCTTTAAGAAAATTTTCGATCTCAGATCGATTAATTTTCTTCTTAGAACATTTTTCGATCTCAGATCAATCAATTTTCTCTGGAGAAAATTTTTAGTTCTCAGATCGATCAAATTTTCTCTTTAGGGAATTTTTCAATCTCAAATCGATCAATTTTCTCTTTAGAAAATTTTTCAATCTCAAATCGATCAAATTGCTTTTTAGAACATTTTTCGATCTCAGATCGATCAAATTCTCTTTAGGAAATTTTTCGATATCAGATCGATCAAATTTTCTTTTTAGAAACCTGTTCGGTCGATTCATATCGATCAAATTTTCTCTTTAGAAAATTATTCGATCGATCTGAAATTGCTCCTTTTATTCCAATAACAAATCCCCAAACAAAGTAAAAAACAAATTAAAAAGTTGCAAAATTATATGTTAAATAAAAAAACATAAATTTAGCAACAAAATATAATTTGAAATTAAAACGAAAAAGTACAATTTAAAACAACACACATCTATATATAGAGTAATAAATAAAACACACACACTTAGACGAAATAGACAGGAAACACTCACCTATACAGTTGCATAATAAAAATATCGTCAATAAATTCCATCTCAGAATGTTTGTGTGTGAATGTAAAATTTGTTTAAAAATTAATACAATTTCTTTGCTGCTAAAATGATAAAATTGCTCCTGATGATGTGGATGATGATAGTGGTAATGGTGGGAATATTTTTGAGGATGCTGATGATGGGAAAGATGTCGCTGCTTTTGCTGCTGGTGTTGTTGAGGATGTGGATGTTGAAAATGTTGCTGATACTTTTGTTTCTGTTGCTGTTTGCTAATAGGTTTTTGTTGTTGTATATTTATCATCTTGTTGTTGTTGTTGCTGCTGTTAAATTTAAGAGCATGTCTTGTTATTGTAGCAATTATTATTGTTGTTGTTGCAATAGTTTTGCTGCCTTTTAAGCTGCTGTAGCAGTAGTTTTTGTAGTTTAATTTAACTTTTTGGTTGGCAAATTATTGCTGTAATGCAAAGATAAAAAGGAAACAATATTTAGTTAAACTTAATTGTTGTTAAATTAAATGCTGCTTTAATTTGTTGTTATTTTCATTCTCATTATTTTTTGTGGCACTCAATTTTCATCGTTTTCATTCCACTTAATTAATGTATGACATTTAAAAAGTTTTTTTTTTTTTTTTAGAATACAGAGCAGATTGCTCTTTTTTGTTTGTTTCATTTTGTAGTTGTTTAATAATTGCATTTATTTGTTACCACAAAATGTTGTTAAAATAATAAATTTTATTTCTATTGTTGTCCTTTTTTTTACAAAACCTTTTGTTAAAAGACAAAGTTTTGTTTACGTATACAAACATATTTATTCATTGTGTGTGTGTTTTCATGTCAAATGTGTTAGTATGTAAAAAAAACATATATAGTTGTCGGAAAAAAAATTAAAAATGTTTGCATAAAAACATTATTGTTAAAACTGTACTTGCGGTTGAATGAGTCTTTTCATAACCACACATACATATGTACATTTTTAAATAGAAATATGTACATGTGTATGCGGTATTGCGATTAGCTCTATACACATGTAAAAACTATTAAGGTGACCAACCTACAGCTAGTCAGTAGCTTAGTCTATAGTCTAGTCTATAGTCTAGTCTATAGTCTAGTCTATAGTCTAGTCTATAGTCTAGTCTATAGTCTAGTCTATAGTCTAGTCTATAGTCTAGTCTATAGTCTAGTCTATAGTCTAGTCTATAGTCTAGTCTATAGTCTAGTCTATAGTCTAGTCTATAGTCTAGTCAGTAGCTTAGTCTATAGTCTAGTCTATAGTCTAGTCTATAGTCTAGTCTATAGTCTAGTCTATAGTCTAGTCTATAGTCTAGTCTATAGTTAGTCTATAGTCTAGTCTATAGTCTAGTCTATAGTCTAGTCTATAGTCTAGTCTAGTCTAGTCTATAGTCTAGTCTATAGTCTAGTCTATAGTCTAGTCTATAGTCTAGTCTATAGTCTAGTCTATAGTCTAGTCTATAGTCTAGTCTATAGTCTAGTCTATAGTCTAGTCTATAGTCTAGTCTATAGTCTAGTCTATAGTCTAGTCTATAGTCTAGTCTATAGTCTAGTCTATAGTCTAGTCTATAGTCTAGTCTATAGTCTAGTCTATAGTCTAGTCTATAGTCTAGTCTATAGTCTAGTCTATAGTCTAGTCTATAGTCTAGTCTATAGTCTAGTCTATAGTCTAGTCTATAGTCTAGTCTATAGTCTAGTCTATAGTCTAGTCTATAGTCTAGTCTATAGTCTAGTCTATAGTCTAGTCTATAGTCTAGTCTATAGTCTAGTCTATAGTCTAGTCTAGTCTAGTCTATAGTCTAGTCTATAGTCTAGTCTATAGTCTAGTCTATAGTCTAGTCTATAGTCTAGTCTATAGTCTAGTCTATAGTCTAGTCTATAGTCTAGTCTATAGTCTAGTCTATAGTCTAGTCTATAGTCTAGTCTATAGTCTAGTCTATAGTCTAGTCTATAGTCTAGTCTATAGTCTAGTCTATAGTCTAGTCTATAGTCTAGTCTATAGTCTAGTCTATATTCTAGTCTATAGTCTAGTCTATAGTCTAGTCTATAGTCTAGTCTATAGTCTAGTCTATAGTCTAGTCTATAGTCTAGTCTATAGTCTAGTCTATAGTCTAGTCTATAGTCTAGTCTATAGTCTAGTCTATAGTCTAGTCTATAGTCTAGTCTATAGTCTAGTCTATAGTCTAGTCTATAGTCTAGTCTATAGTCTAGTCTATAGTCTAGTCTATAGTCTAGTCTATAGTCTAGTCTATAGTCTAGTCTATAGTCTAGTCTATAGTCTAGTCTATAGTCTAGTCTATAGTCTAGTATAGTCTAGTCTATAGTCTAGTCTATAGTCTAGTCTATAGTCTAGTCTATAGTCTAGTCTATAGTCTAGTCTATAGTCTAGTCTATAGTCTAGTCTATAGTCTAGTCTACAGTCTAGTATATAGTCTAGTCTATAGTCTAGTCTATAGTCTAGTCTATAGTCTAGTCTATAGTCTAGTCTATAGTCTAGTCTATAGTCTAGTCTATAGTCTAGTCTATAGTCTAGTCTATAGTCTAGTCTATAGTCTAGTCTATAGTCTAGTCTATAGTCTAGTCTGTAGTCTATAGTCTAGTCTATAGTCTAGTCTATAGTCTAGTCTATAGTCTAGTCTATAGTCTAGTCTATAGTCTAGTCTATAGTCTAGTCTATAGTCTAGTCTATAGTCTAGTCTGTAGTCTATAGTCTAGTCTATAGTCTAGTCTATAGTCTAGTCTATAGTCTAGTCTATAGTCTAGTCTATAGTCTAGTCTAGTCTAGTCTATAGTCTAGTCTATAGTCTAGTCTATAGTCTAGTCTATAGTCTAGTCTATAGTCTAGTCTATAGTCTAGTCTATAGTCTAGTCTATAGTCTAGTCTATAGTCTAGTCTATAGTCTAGTCTATAGTCTAGTCTATAGTCTAGTCTATAGTCTAGTCTATAGTCTAGTCTATAGTCTAGTCTATAGTCTAGTCTATAGTCTAGTCTATAGTCTAGTCTATAGTCTAGTCTATAGTCTAGTCTATAGTCTAGTCTATAGTCTAGTCTATAGTCTAGTCTATAGTCTAGTCTATAGTCTAGTCTATAGTCTAGTCTATAGTCTAGTCTATAGTCTAGTCTATAGTCTAGTCTATAGTCTAGTCTATAGTCTAGTCTATAGTCTAGTCTATAGTCTAGTCTATAGTCTAGTCTATAGTCTAGTCTATAGTCTAGTCTATAGTCTAGTCTATAGTCTAGTCTATAGTCTAGTCTATAGTCTAGTCTATAGTCTAGTCTATAGTCTAGTCTATAGTCTAGTCTATAGTCTATAGTCTAGTCTATAGTCTAGTCTATAGTCTAGTCTATAGTCTAGTCTATAGTCTAGTCTATAGTCTAGTCTATAGTCTAGTCTATAGTCTAGTCTATAGTCTAGTCTATAGTCTAGTCTATAGTCTAGTCTATAGTCTAGTCTATAGTCTAGTCTATAGTCTAGTCTATAGTCTAGTCTATAGTCTAGTCTATAGTCTAGTCTATAGTCTAGTCTATAGTCTAGTCTATAGTCTAGTCTATAGTCTAGTCTATAGTCTAGTCTATAGTCTAGTCTATAGTCTAGTCTATAGTCTAGTCTATAGTCTAGTCTATAGTCTAGTCTATAGTCTAGTCTATAGTCTAGTCTATAGTCTAGTCTATAGTCTAGTCTATAGTCTAGTCTATAGTCTAGTCTATAGTCTAGTCTATAGTCTAGTCTATAGTCTAGTCTATAGTCTAGTCTATAGTCTAGTCTATAGTCTAGTCTATAGTCTAGTCTATAGTCTAGTCTATAGTCTAGTCTATAGTCTAGTCTATAGTCTAGTCTATAGTCTAGTCTATAGTCTAGTCTATAGTCTAGTCTATAGTCTAGTCTATAGTCTAGTCTATAGTCTAGTCTATAGTCTAGTCTATAGTCTAGTCTATAGTCTAGTCTATAGTCTAGTCTATAGTCTAGTCTATAGTCTAGTCTATAGTCTAGTCTATAGTCTAGTCTATAGTCTAGTCTATAGTCTAGTCTATAGTCTAGTCTATAGTCTAGTCTATAGTCTAGTCTATAGTCTAGTCTATAGTCTAGTCTATAGTCTAGTCTATAGTCTAGTCTATAGTCTAGTCTATAGTCTAGTCTATAGTCTAGTCTATAGTCTAGTCTATAGTCTAGTCTATAGTCTAGTCTATAGTCTAGTCTATAGTCTAGTCTATAGTCTATAGTCTAGTCTATAGTCTAGTCTATAGTCTAGTCTATAGTCTAGTCTATAGTCTGGTCTATACTCTAGTCTATAGTCTGGTCTACGATTTGGTCCATAATCTATAGTTTTTTCTGCAGTCGAGTCCACAATACGGGCAAATACTTAGTTTTTGGTGAATTTTTATTAATACAACCTCCTTAAAAACATGCAAAAACAATACATATATCAACATTTATAGTTCTTGGTCACATAACAGTCCAAACAACTAGTTACTACAGCTACTATTTCCACTGCTCTTAACTGACCTTTTACAATATTAAGCTGGCTCTTAGCAAATACAAAATACCATTCCTTTACTTAAATGTAAGCAGAAAAACTTACTTGCAACATACATATACACATATAAATACATGCATATACAATTTACTTAAACAAAACACACATACGGACACATCTAACGTAATGTAGATGGTAAAATACCAGAAGGAAACACGGAAACAAAAACATGCAACATTCAATATACGTGTAAGTAAAACACATGGATATATGCAGAGTAACTAATGTTTGTAGCAGAGTAAAGCTAAAGGGAATATGTAGGGATAGAAAGATGCATGTCACACACAACCGTACGCTTATGTGTAAAGGAACAAACAAACGTTTGCAAAACATTAACATGACCCTAAATGTCATGGTTATGTTTTAAAATGTGGTCAAATTAAGCTTATACTGTATATGTGTATGTAAATATATGTGTGTGTATGAGTTTATGTGAGTATGCGTTTTGATGTTAGAATGTATTTTGAGTTGAGGAAAAATTTACTTGCAACAACCTCGCCAAACAAGATTTAACAATGCATTGAAATGTTTTTGTTTATGCTTGCAGTTAGTTGTTAAAATTGTGGCCGGACTAGTAATGAGAAAGCTATAGATTGTAGCAATTAAATTTGAATATTTTTACTTTGATTTAGTTGCGAACATTTTTGATAAACCAAAGACCATTTTTTATAAATTGTGAATTTTTTTTATTTATGAAAAATTTTCTATTGAAAGGAAAATTTATAGAAAAGTTTGTATAACAAGGCAATCTAAACTTATCGAAAATTATCTATAAAAAGGACATTTTCTATAAAAACAAAATGTTTCGAAAATTTTCTATAAAAACTTTTTTCTATAAAAACTTGTCTATAAAACGAATTTTTTGTAAAAAGTTAATTTCTGTGCTACCTATCCTTTCTGTAGCTTTTTG